TAATTTTATTAATTTTATTTTATTTTTAATTTTTTTAAGGTTTATTTATTTTGAAAGAGGACATGAACAGGGGAGGGGCAGAGAGAGAGAGAGAGAGAGAGAGAGAGAGAGAGAGAATCCCAAGCAGGCTCTGCTGTGTCAGCGCAGAGCCTCACTCAGGCTTGGTCTCAGGAACTGCGAGAGCACGACCTGAGCCAATATCAAGAGTCAGATGTTCAACCAACTGAGCACCCAGGTGCCCCTACCACTTGTAATTTTAACCTGAGCTTTTTAACTATTTTGAATTTTGATATTTAAGTTCCAGCCTAATAAAAGGGACATTATTAGTGGGCTATTTATATTATTTCATTATTCAATTATTAGTTTATAATTAATAGTTATATTAATGCATATATATATATATGAATCTTTATATATAACATGTTTAAAGAACATGTGGCAGTGACAGCAATGTCTACAAAGATGTAGATGTGATGTGGTTATCTTAGTCCATTTGGGATGCTATAACAAAATACCATAAACTTAGTATTTTATAAACAACCAGAATTTGTTGCTCACAGTTCTAGAGGCTGAGAAGACCAAGCTCAAGGCACCAGCATGGTCCCATTCTGGTGAAGGTCCTCTTCATGGTTCATACCAGGCATTTTCTTGCTGTATCCTCCCAAGGTAGAGGGGGTCTGTGGGATCTCTTTTATAAGCGTGCTGATCCTATTCATGAGGGCTTCAGCCTCATTACCTAGTCAGTACACAAAGACTGCACCTACTAATACCTTTGGGGGTTAGGATTTCAACACAAATTTTGGAGTGACATAAATATTCAGATAACAGCAGTTAACATAATTATTCTTCCTTGATTTTTAGCCTTAATTAAATACTAAGGCGATGCAAACATAAAAAGATAAGCTATTATTATACACACACCCCATACATATTTTGTCTCAGATTTTTATCAGTATTAATCTCTTTGAGAGCGAGGATAATAAGTAACCGTAATTACTGAAATTCTGTAACACCACATATACTGTCCTATTACTTATGCACGTAGAGTAAATATTTGATAAAGAATAGGATGTTTACAGGTAATTTTAAAACATTTGGAAGATAAATATAATTTTTCTGTTGATAAAAAACAAAGCATCAATCTATCGTTTGATGCTGTTATAAAGTGTGCCTTAGAAATTACAAATCCTGGAAGTCCTATCCCATTTACAAAGCAAATTCCATATTTATGGTGACCAGGTTGTTACTAGAAAATTTTCTTTTTCACTGTTGTTTTTGTTCTGGTTTTAAACCATTTAGCAAGTATTTATCACTTACCATACATAAAATACTCTCCTAGGTACCTAAGGAATAAATAATAAACTGTAGTCCATTTATATTTTATAACGGACTTTGATAAAAAAAACTATATAAAGTGTTTTTTATAGAGTTTAGAACCTTTAGAGTCTAGAACATTTAGGTCCTCATTTATTTCCTCATTTATCTGCAGTTGTATAATATTCAAGTCAGATTTGTATATATTATATGTATATGTTTTATAGATATTTCATCCAGAAAGATAACTCACAGATTATAAATTTAAGAATGCCACAGGCTTTATGTCTATTAGGTTCATTTAGTTGAGGAAAAAGTTCTTAAAATATGGTAGTTTGTCCTGAAATGTGAGAACTTTCAAACTTAATATTGGCAGTTTGTAATTGAGGCTGAGTGAAATTGGTTCTCCTGACCCTGTTAAGCAGAAAATTAAATTAAGAACAAAAGTTACCTTTAAGAAGTTTACTTTTATATGCAGAGGGATAGACTTACTTCATGTGTTAATCAGATGGTCAACATCTCAATAACACAAGGCTGTATCTTGAGCACATTCAAAGGGAACAAGTAATTTCATACCTTGAGAAGGCAAGTCTAAAAACTTTTTTTCATTCTCTTTTATAGTACTACCATTTAGTGATTTAGTGTGGTGACTAAACCATCTGGTTTATTATGTAACACCTATTCATAATAAGTTAGTTATATTATGCAGCCTTAATATATTACTATAGCATTAAGAAACTTGGTTTTAATTTAGTTATGCATGCCAAAAAAAAAAAATTTAGTTTTGCATGCCAGTATTCAATTATAAGAGTTTTAAGAAAATAGATGTAGTTTGCTCATGTAGTATTTCATTTTACTACATTTTTTTCAGTATTAATATTTGCCTCTTAGGAAATGATATTTTGGTAAAATAATAGCTTTTTAGAAAAAGGTGCATTTTTGGGAATGCAACCTGGTGCAGCCACTCTGGAAAACAGTATGGAGGTTCCTCAAAAAAAACTAAAAATAGAACTACCCTACGACCCAGTAATTGATCCACGGGATACAGGTGTGCTGTTTCGAAGGGACACATGCACCCCCATGTTTATAGCAGTACTATCAACAATAGCCAAAGTATGGAAAGAGCCCAAATGTCCATTGATGGATGAATGGATAAAGAAGATGTGGTATGTATATACAATGGAGTATTACTTGGCAATCAAAAAGAATGAAATCTTGCCATTTGCAACTACGTGGATGGAACTGGAGGGTATTATGCTAAGTGAAATTAGTCAGAGAAAAACAAATACCATGACTTAATTCATATGAGGAATTTAAGAGACAAAACAGATGAACATAAGGGAAGGGAAACAAAAATAATATAAAAACAGGAAGGGGGATAAAACAGAAGAGACTCATAAATATGGAGAACAAACTGAGGGTTACTGGAGGGGTTGTGGGAGGGAGGATGGGGGTAAGGGGCACTAAGGAATCTATTCCTGAAATCATTGTTGCACTATATGCTAACTAATTTGGATGTAAATTTAAAAAAATTTAAGGGGCGCCTGGGTGGCGCAGTCGGTTAAGCGTCCGACTTCAGCCAGGTCACGATCTCGCGGTCCGTGAGTTCGAGCCCCACGTCAGGCTCTGGGCTGATGGCTCAGAGCCTGGAGCCTGTTTCCGATTCTGTGTCTCCCTCTCTCTCTGCCCCCCCCCCTTAAAGGTACTTTCTTTCTCGCCCCCCCCCCCAAAAAAAAAAAAGTTGAAAAAAAAATGAAAAAAAAATAAGAAAATAAAAAAATTTAAAAAATTAAAAAAAAAAGGTGCATTTTGTTTCCATAATTATTTCCATTGAGATTTAAAACAATAAAGTATAAATGATATTATCTACTAAGAAATTTTACATGTAAAACCTTTATGTCCTTTATTGAAAACATGTTTCTATAAACACAGACAAATATACATTATAAATAAGTGAGTTCTATTTGACAGGGCATATATATATCATCCTTAACAGTTTTTATTTTCCTCATTAGACACTTGAGCTGAATTTACTATTGGTATAATGGCTATTCTGCAGAATATAACACATATCTACATTATTTTTAGTTTCTTTTTTCTAAGAAGCTATTAGGTGCATAGGCATTTTGAGAAATGACACAAAAATAAAACAGTGTATTAAACGCTTATGTTCCCATCTCCCAGCTCCATCAGCTCATATCCATTCCTGCTCCATACAGACCTCTAGGCACTCACTACTGCCTTCCCTGTATTACGATGAAGAAGTTCTAAAGATATTGTATTATTTCATCTATAAATGTATTTTATTTTAGTGTTTTAGAGATGTTCTCTTCTCTAAAAGATATAGATAAATACACTTAATTTCCACCCATATGGAAGGTAAAAATGATGGATTGTTTTTTACAGCTTTTAATGCCACTGTTTGCATTAAGTTGTTAAATTATGATTGCAGCCAACTGAATTAGTAAATAATAAGAATTAGTAAATAATTAACTTCAGACCCTTCCTATAAAAGTTTAAGGCCATTGTTGTCCAAACTACATTTTTTGGACCATTAATGTGCTATGAACTCTTTATGGGCATACTTCAAATAAAGGGTTTTGTTGTCAAGTAAGTTTGGAAAATTCTTAAAACTTGGTTCTCATTGAAGAGCAGAGTACTTTAGCTTAGTAGAGTTTCAAATAAGTCATATGACAAAGAATCTTGTTTCACTTTGTTTAAACTCAGTATTTCCTATAGGAATTCTGTAGTAATTTGTCCATGTACCTTTTCCTCCCTTATAAATATTTCTGGGCATTTTTCTGGAAATTAATATTCTGTAAAACAATTTGGGAAACATTGCTCCATCTACAGGATCCCAAACAGCTGTGCCTGGACCATTGGAAATTTCTCACACGTCCAGCCAAATTCATTTGAATAGAGTTCTCCTAAGAGAGGGAAAAAAATAGATTTTTAAAAACAGGATTCACAGATACTTGTGATAGCCACTTTGGAAGCCACCATACTGTTCATTTGTGACGACCATGCATTATGGTGATGGTCTTTCTTTATAGACAAAATCGGTACTTTTTTTTTTTTTTTTTTTTTTTGGAAATCAGTAGTAACTTGTTAGGGATTGTGCTTGGACATTGTGCCTGGGCTTTAAGTTAGTACTAAATTTTCAGGAAATTTATTGTGCTAATTCTGGAAGCATTGAAAAAATATTTTCCAATTCCATGAATTCATTCTATGAGCATAAAATCAATCTTAGTCTGTTGTATATTTAAGCTTCTTCACTTTGACTTCTCACATCCAAAACCTTTATTTTTCACTTACTCCAGTCAATAAATGTTAATATAATTTAATATGTAGTGAATCAAATATCTGGGCTAATATGAGAATCAGTTCGTTTTAATTAATGAATAATTTACTTTAGGTCTTTTTCTTATTAGGATGTATGGTCTCCTGAATACTGCTGAGAAAAGTAATGCTTCTGTTGTAAATGTTAGCTACCGGATAATGTCGTTTACTATATTTGCACATACTTGCTCAGTACCAATGAGAAAAACATGATTTTATGATATTCATGTGTTGTAATTAATATGAAAGTATTACTAGCCACAGTTTGGTATGTCACATGCCTAATCTCTATGTCTAAACTGTGAGTGAGCCAATAACATTTTTAAAGAATCAAACATTGAAGAGAATTAATTTTCTTCACGTAATTCATGAGTATCTATATATTTGTCTTCAATAAACCCATCATTGTCTATTACAAATGAATGTAGTTGTTCAAATATTACTGTAGTTTCTTCAGAGTTTGTATGTGAGGCTTGTGAAAGAGAACTTGAATTTCCAGTAAAACCATCTTCATAGGTTTCTGCTTCATGCTCTTCCAGGCGATGATGATTGTAACTAAGCAGAAAATTATACCATATTGGGCATTTGATAGCAATAAAAATGAGGAATGAAGTCATCAGTACAGTGACTACCACACCGAGAAGAAAAGCCCAGCTTTTTCCAAGAAGTGTATGTTCTTAATTGGAATACCGAGAGAGAGAGAGAAAGAGATTTTGTTAAATTGACAAAAATAAAATAATCATAATTACATGTCCTAATAACTCCATAGTATTGGTATTAGAAATAGACACACATTCTAATTTTCTTTAAACAAAAGTTACTAAGACTGCAATAAATTAAGATATTTCATAGTGTGGTGAGAAAATACCTTTTTTTCAAAATAGCTACCTATCTTTGCAGATACTGTTTATCAATTCACCTTAAAACATTATTGATTTATACCTGTTGAGAATTGTTACTTAACCAGTCAAAAGTAAGGCTCAGAGAAGTTAAATAAGTTGCATTATGGCATTGGATGGTAACTGGCAGAACCTGGTTTGGAAACCTAGTATTTTGTAAATCTTTTGTTGAAATGAGGAATTGTTCTTTTACATTGTTTCTAGAAATTTAAAATTCAGTTTATTTAGTCTACTGCCCCAATATTAATATTTAAGACCAGTACATTACCTGAATTTTTTAAGTTGTTCAAAGAGCTGTTAAATGTTGAATTGTTAATGGACTGAGAGTGGTTATAAAGATCTTCATTTATAGGTGGAGAAAATTTTGAGTAGCATTCAGCATTGTATGGTACAGTTGTGATACTATAGCGTTTCAGGATATCTGGGTAGGCACATGTGGTGATGTTCTCATTTTCTGGTAAATCAGAATTAAGATTTGTTACGGAAAATAAGATTAATAATATTAGTAAATTTTTATAGCTAACATTTTATAATTATTTTTACCTAGAATTTTTGGTAATGACCTGTCGTCATTAAAGATTATAAGAAAGAAACTTGTATTTGCCTAGCAACACTATAAGGGAAAGATTCATATTCTTGTTTATTAAGTTATTTTATGAATATAGTTCAAGTGTAATATGTTTATTGTTTAGTTTATGTATTAAAGTAAAGATGGTATGATTAAGATTGTGGTGAAAATTGATCACAGGCAGAGCATGGTTTGCAGTTAAGCAAATAGGGCACCAGTTTTTATCTGCTCTCTGGCAGGATATCCTAAGAAAAGGAAATACCTAAAAAAAATTACTCTTATGTATTCACACTGCAAACTTAATACATGAAGTGATAGTATCATTTCACATATATAGAACATTTAAAATTTTCTTTTTTTTTTTTTTTTTCATGAAAGGCAGAAGAAGATCATCTATTCAGCAATTACTTTTTATTGTTTCTTCCTGCTTCCCTTAAACAGGAATAGTTTCTTTTTCTTTAAAACATGAAGTGAGAGACTTTCCTGGGCTGAAACAATCAAAAATCAATCACATTTTGGTTTTGATTAAATTATGTTAGCTTACCTAGTGTCACATTTGAGGTGTTCAACCATTTCTGCAAATTCAGTAGACTACAAGAGCAGTTCCATGGATTTCCATATAAAATTATTAATTCCAGATGAAACATTCGTGGTACATCAAAATAGCTTATCAAATTGCCTTGCAGATTCAGAAGTATTAGGTTTTTTAGAGGCACAAATATATCAGGATTCAGTTGAAATATTTTGTTTTGACAGAGATGTAACTGTTTTAGTTTATTTAAGCCTATGAACGCACCCTGTTGAATTATGTGGATGGAGTTTGTACAAATATTTAAAATTTCTAGGTTGGAGAGGTTACCAAAGCTGTTATTATATAACATAATGATATTGTTCTCAATTAAATAGAGTTCAGTGAGTAAAAAATAGGTCTGTAGAACCCTTGTGTCTGTAACATTCAGAGAAATTTGGTTATAACTGAGATCAAGTATAGTAATGTTTTTATTGATATCCACTGGAATTAACGAATAATTCATTTCAGTGAAATTATATTTGACTTCCTAAAAAAGAAAAAATCAGAAATTAATTAGGAAAAATATTAACAGAATTTCCCAAATTTTCATATCCAGGTAATTAGATATTTAGGAGAAAATAGTTTTAGGAAATATTTCCTCTCTAATATTTGATGTTACAGTGTAAAAAAGGTAAAGAAAATACTTTTATTTCTTTATCAGGATGAAATACTGAAGATTAAGGAAATTCTGATACATGTAATTGAGCAAAGATCTTCTAGTTTACCATATATACTTTATGTTATTACAGAAAGAAAGACTATGGGTGTAATTCCATTTATGTATGTGGAAATACATGGCAAATAATAATTCTCTTATTTAGTACTTCATTTGTGCAGATTTATAATGAAACTTAAAATTTGTTGTTTTTAAAAATCAGAGCTACCAACACTAGGGCTATTAAATCATTAAATCATTCAGAAATATTACTCAAGATGTAACTCTATAGAATTAACAGCTCAAAGTTTCGTGTTTTAAAAGAAAATATTTATTGGGGCACGAGGGTGGCTTAGTTAAACGTCCAACTCAACTCTCATACTTTTCAACTCAACAACTCAATAATTTTCTTCATAAATATATGATTAAAAAAAATTCCTACATTTTAAAAAGTAGTGTTTGGGGGTGCCTGGCTGGTTCAGTTGGTAGAGCATGTGACGCTTAATTTTCAGGCCCTGAGTTTGAGCCCCACTTTGGGAGTAGAGATTACTTAAAACAAGACAGTGGTGTTTATGTCCTGAAACTAATCTCACATTTTATAGTGAAAACTTTTAAAGAACTAAGTTAAAAAAAAAAATGGGGGCACCTGGGTGGCTCAGTTATTTGTGTCCGACTCTTGATTTCGTCTCAGGTCATGATTTGTGGGATCAAGTCCCACGTTTGGCTCCATGGCTGAGCATTGAGCCTACTTGTTTCTCTCTCTCTCTCTCTCTCTCTCTTTCTCTCTCCCCCTCCCCCTCTCCCTCTCCCTCTCCCTCTCCCTCTCCCTCTCCCTCTCCCTCTCTCCCCCCCCATCTGCCCCTTTCCACCACTCGAACATGTGCTCTCTGTCTAAAATAAAAAAATAAATAAAAAGCCTGTGTTTTCAATTTATAAAAAAAAAAATTATAGACTGCTTTTGTCAAATTAGAATCCAGCTTACATATCACAGATTTTGAATATAGACAGCTAAACATTTGGTTGTGATAGCTTGGATTTTTTTCTTTTATTGTCTTGGGATATTTTACTAAATGTACACAAAGTATACCTTTGAAAATATTGGTTGTAAAAACTTACTGTTCTAGAAGACTGGCTGTTGTCTGATAACAATAGCATGGAGAGGGGCCAAAACAAGATTGTGATGCATGTAGTTTTCATATCGCAAGCCTGATAGAAAAGAGAGTATTTTCATCTCAGTAGGATACTAGAACTTTAGAGATGATTGAGGACATTTTGATTTCCTTTTTTCTCCTTGTAAATCTATTTTTTCTTAAAATATGTAAAATGTAAAACAAGTACATGTCCCTGAACTCTTCCTTGCTCTCTAATCTTAACAAATTGGAAAGCTTCTGGCAAATGAAATTTGAATATATTGTAGAATGTTTATGAGTTCCTGAATTGATTGAAAAGAAATTTAATAGAACTGGTTGTATATTTTAAAATTTTAATAATGTGCATGAAAGAAAGTTTTATATACATACATATGTGTACATGTTTAATATGCTTATATTGTTATTTCTTGGTTTTTTTAGATTTTAGGCATTGTCTGTTGGTATAATCCATTGACTTAAAACCGTAGGAGTTGAGAGCCTTCAGCTCTTTTTCAAACACTTGCTACCTTCATCTCCAATCCATCAAATGTATGCTTTTTATCTCTTCATTCTCCAAACATAGTTACTTATAATTTTGGCTAGATGAGTATTCAGGGCTTATCATGAATGTATAAATACTGTTAATGACTGAGCCATGTAACAGGATTACTTTCCTGTTCCTGTACACTTTTTTTTCCTCTAAATTACTGTATTTTTCATGTGCTTAGGTTTTTTTTTTATTTTTTTTATGAATTGATACCTAAACTCTCCCCTAACATATCGCTAAATAGTTTATACTTATTAGATATTTAACGTTCCATCTTCTTAAAGAAGTCTCTCCTTAGGCCTTACTTAGAATGAAATTGCTGGACTTTTTCTTGGGAATCCCTAAATGTTATTATCCTTAGTTTTTTTGTTTTGTTTTGTTTTGTTTTGTTTTTCTCTTGGACTGGTTGGCTTTCCCAAAATGACTTTCAGCGGTCTGAACAGATAAGGCCAGGTAGTGAGCTGAGAGCTGAGTGGTGAAAAAGGGGGTTTATCTCAGTAATTAGTATGTAAACTTTAACTTACTCCCCGTTTTTGGCCTTACATTCCTGCATTCACTTGTGCTTAGTGCCCAGATTCCCTTTGTTGTATTCTCCCCAGAGGGAAAAAAAAGGCCTCAGTCTTGTGCTTATGTAGGAGAGGAACTTTACTTGGCTGGGCAGAGGCAAGGAGGAAGAATTTTAACTATGTTTTATTCCTTTCTTCTCCAGTTCCAGAGTACCTGGTGCTGCCAGTTTCTGGGCCATTTATGGGTTCTGTGGTATAATTCAAGCAACTTCTCAGCTTGCCCCACTGCTGGCTTGGAAACATTTTGCTTTCCTAGATTCCACTTAACCATTAACTTTCAAGTTTCTTGGTTTTATTGCTGTTGCCCTCTCTTCCATTCTCTTTGTCCTTATTACTTTTTATTTTCATTTAAGTCAGGTTTGGGTCAGGAGTCAAAGTTAACTTGTACATCCAACATGCCATCTTTAACTGGAAATTGCCATTAATTTGAGTAAACTCTTGTTGCTAAATAATTACTTTCCATTTAGTCATTTTATTCATGACCTTGATGTTTCTTGTTTTTATCTGTTTTCTTAAAGTCAGTATTAGAAAACTATATTGCAAACAAATGATCATTTAAGAGGATATGAATATATGCTGTTATAATCCTTATTGGCTTTCTGAAATTTAGTCTTTTAAATCTTATAGCATTTCTTGCAATGCGATACTTAATATTTTAAAGGGTAAGTTTATTCCATCAGAGCAGGAAGTAGAAAACTATTCAGAATGAGCAAGCCTCATTTCAAGTTATAAAATCTGTTGTTGCCTCATTAGCAATGAGGAATTTACTGTTATTTCAGTTTTGGTCTATTTTAGTTCACTTTCTCATTACCTTCAGTATGTTGATTTGTTTATACTTATATCTCTTTTATTTCTCCTTTACCATAGTTAAATTTATTAGAAAAAGCCACTGCTGTCCTCGATTTCACAAACTGGATGTAGACTCAGAATCAGATTCTTTTAGAATCAGATTTAGAATCTGATTCTTTTAAAATCAGAAATGAGTTCAAGCTCTTATTCCAGAACATTGTCCACAAAAGGGTATCCCTAATTCATACATAAAAGGTACTTTACCCCTGTTTAACCACCTCTAGAGACATGTGTACAGCCTTGTCAATGGCTTGTGTCAGTATGTATCAGTGGGGTAGCAAAGTTCTTAGTGAGGGTGCAAATGTAGGTAAGGTAGTGGTGAGTAAGGGAAAAGTCCTGTTTTTTTCAGAAATAAGTAGGATAGGGATCATTAAAGGAAGCAAATAGGCTACAAAAAAATGAGCTGATTCTAAGAAATTATGTGGAAAAGAAGCAGCTAAAGTATGTAATGGAGAGATCAGGCAGGACTATAAACCAATGTGTAATTTATGATCTTTATCCTCTATTTCATACTAATAATTGCTTTCTCTAGTGTGCTAAAGGTGATAAGATTAGAAAAGGATTTTTCCCCATTTTTTGATAAATTTCAGAGTTAGGAGCAATATATATGCAGACCTTAAGGTAGATTCTGTATAAGAAAGTGTTCAGCAAATCTCAAGCATTGTTAGGTCTAAAGCTATGAAATGCATTGATTGGACTACACAGTCTGCGGGGCTTTTCATATATTTTGTGTGTCTTTTGGAAGGGGAAAGATTAAAAGAGGGGTGGGGGCACCTGGATGGCGCAGTCGGTTAAGTGTCCTACTTGAGCTCAGGTCATGATCTTGCAGTTCGTGGGTTTTAGCTCCTCATCATTGGGCTCTGTGCTGACAGCTCAGAGCCTGAAACCTGTAGATTCTGTGTCTCCCTTTCTCTCTGCCCCTCCCCTGCTTGTACTCTGTCTCTCTCAAAAATAAATATTAAAAAAAATTTTTTTTTAATAAATAAAAGAGGGAGTGGATGTTGACCATCACAACCTGAGTAGAGAAGTCCCTAGACAAAAACATTTGCTAGCATTATTGGCTATCTTAAAGAAATCAGGTGGGTGGAATAGCTAGCCAGTAGATAGATTATGCAGATTGTCCTTGAGTCACTTTACCGCATTTAAAACATTGGTGTAAAAAGAAGATATCTATTACTGCCTTTTTCCTCCCATTGGAATTTTTTCTCAATTTGAAATTTATTTTGAAATGATACTTGGGTTTGAATTTAGTGATAAAAAAATAAAGAACAAATGGAATAACAGTTTCTTTTAATTTACAAAATAAAGTGCCTTTTGACTTAGCTTACAGCCTACCTTACAGGAAAAAAAAGCTTTACACAAAAGTAAATAATAGGTAAAGAATAGTGTTCCCTTTAGTGCGTTTTCAAGTATAAGTTTCTTGGGAGTTTTTGGTTATTTACTTCCTATGACTTTCATACCATGAAATAAAAAGATGTTGCAATTATGTTGGTTTTGTTAAATAAAATGTATATATAGGTTTGCCATTAAATATTTTAGTTACGCCAGAATTTGATGTGTTTGAAGATATTAACAGTTCATGATTAACTTCACTTTTGTAGTCAACCATTTTATAGATTTTTTTTGCAAACTTAAACATTTTTATAATGGAAAATTTCAAGAGAAAACCTCTGAGCAAGGAGAATAGTCACACCTAATTTCAGCAATTACCAATTAGCGGCCAGTTGTTTTGGTTTTTTTTTTTCATCTTTTAAATTTGTTTTAAGTTAATGTCATTTTTCAGAATGCTCTGTGATTAACATATTTCAAAATAAAAAGATCTTATATATTTGATTAGCTAGATGCAACATTTTTCCCCCAAAAAAAGAAAAATTAGTTTGCATTGCATTATAACTTTATTCGAGAAAGTTTTTTGGCCATGTCCCAGGTGTATATTTCTAAAGTAGATCATGTGAAGATATAATCATATTTTCTCCTCTTTCATCACTTATTAGAGATTTTTGTACAGACTTAACAAATCTAAATATGTTTTTTTAATTCACCAGCAACCACCAAACCTATAAATATATAGGATCTTACCTTTACTTTTTTCTTTTGTCTCTGAGATTTGTGTGCTAAGGAGTCTACTGTTTCTTCTACACCATTAAAAAAAAGTATGTCATATGATTACATTTCACTTATGTTTTAACCTTTGTACCTAGTGAACACGTGATTAAAAAAAACTAGACTTCCTTAGCAAAAGATTGACTAGAAGAATAATTTCTTAAAGTCATCTTTGACTTTTTTATCGTAACAAATAAAGTGCGTTGTTTAACCTTTGTGTTTCTTAATTACTCTTGAAAAATTTAAATATTAGCAAATTCACTTTGCAAGTTAAAGTATATAATATTGAGAATGCATACTTTAAAAGATATATTGTTAGAGTGATTTAAAGTTAGTCCTAAAGGTATTTTGTGTTTAGAAAGATTCAAGTTGAAAAGATACCACCAAGTTTTGTATTCCCCTGAGTTTCAACTTTGTTATTTACTCATTTTTATGACACTGTCATTGGTGGTTTTACTGCCAAGTTATAACAGGAGCAAAGTGCTCAGAGCATCAAAAGACCTGACACTTGGCATTGTGTGGCCTTCAAAAAATGAGTTACCTTCCTTATGCTGCAGCTTCTCATCTGTGAAATAGAATACTGTATAGTATGAGCTCCCATATTACTACAGTAGACAGATAAATCAGGCAAAAACATGGTTAAGATTCCTTATTGATAGTGAACAATCATGGAATTTAGAATGAGTTAGTTCCAAAAGATTAACTCCTCTGAGCCTAGTATCCTTAATCTATGAAACAAAGAGATTGCAATAGATGACCTTTTCTGCTTGAAAGTTCTGTGAGCCCGTAAACCCGTATCAGTTCAGCATTTGTTGTACTATAGTAATTGAAATTCAAAGTGAAGATATCACTCTGTCCAGCAGTGAGACAAAAATAAATAGAAATTCCAGGTTGTTTGATTTTGTTCATTTTTTTTTTCTTAAGTTTTATTTATTTAAGTAATCTCTACATCCCATGTTGGGCTTGAACTCACAACTCTGAGATTAAAAGTCGCATGCTCCTGCACTTGAGCCAGCCAGGCACCCCTGATTTTGTTCATCTTTTATTGGGTTATTATGAGATATTATTTGTAGGAAAATTTCTTAGTTTAGATTATTTTATTCTGGTAGTGGGGTATGAGTATAAAAGGTGTGGAGGATAGGTGCATCTACAGGGTTTAGAGAGAGATTGTGAAAACTGTAGAAGTTGATATCTACATGTGAAAGATGAAATAGTAGAAGACTCATATTTTGAAACACAAAATAGAAATTTTGATGTTGAGACTAAACATTTATCTTCAAGTAGTCTTTTTATATGTCAGTCTTTAAGTATTTACATGGTAACTAGCATCTTTCTATTTTTTTCAGAATTTTTCTCTACCATATTGACAATTGACCTTGCTTAGGTAATAAGTGACACATCACTGGTATTTCTTGTGATTATATGATAAAGATGGTTATTGTTTATAATTAATTTAGTCACTACTACTTTTATATGATTACACTCGTGATGTTCCTGTTATGTTTTTAGGGAAATAAATTTATTATTTTGCAGTGCTAAAATATAGTTGATAACTTTGGGAATACCAATTTTTTTTAAGTTTATTTTTAAGAAAGAGAGAGAGAAGAAGCACAAGTGGGAGAGGGGCAGAGACAGAATCCCAAGCAGGCTCTGTGCTCTAAGCACAGAGACCAATGTGGGGCTCTGTCCCACAAACCATGAATCATGACCTGAGCCAAAATTAAGAGTGAGTTGAACGCTTAACAGACTGAGCCACCCATGTGCCCCAGAACACCAGTTTTAATTAAAGCTGTAGATAAGCAAAATATATTATTATTCTAAAGCTCTGATTGTTTTTTAATCAAATTGCACTGTAGGTTTCCTTACTCTCAGATCAGTCAGAGCAGTGTTACTTTATATCATTTACATGGTGAACTACCATACAAGATTTCATTTGGTCAAAGAATTCTATAGCCAAAAGATGTTTAAAATCCACTATTCTAAAATTTAACTGTCTTCTTTCTCTTGAGGATATGGCAAAGTGTAAACACATCCTTGTATATATATGGCTCTAAGGATTTTCTGTGATAATCTTTGTGTTTTCTAATAAAGTAAAATGGACACTAAGGAAATAGAAGGATTTGGGGATTGAGAAGAAAAAGACGTAAAATAAATCTGTGCTGATGGGACCAAATTATTTTTTTTGGATGTATAAGGGATTTTCTTATTAATTTTTAATTGAAGTATGGTTGACACATAATGTTACTTAGTGATTCAACAGCTCTATATGTTATGCAACGTTCACCACAAGTTACCATCACCATACAACACTATATCGATGCCATTGGCTATATTACTTATGCTGTACTTTTCATCCCTATGACTTATACATTCCATAACTAGAAACTTTGTATCTCCCACTCCCCTTCACCCATTTTTGCCCACCCCTCACCCTCTCCTCCCCAGCAACTGCTAGTTTGTTCTCTAAATAGAATTTTTTGTACATCTATAAGGATTACAAACTATGTTAAATAACTTTACCCTATTTAGTTCAGACCATGACCTGAGAAAAATTAATTGATGTTTTCCCCCTCAATATAGTAAGAGGAATATTACATGCTTTCTTTTGATTTCAGGAAGGAAAAACAAATTAGAAGTGTAGAAGAAGAAGTTGAACAGGAAAAGCAAGCAGCAGATGGCATTATCAAAAACATGTCTCCTGAAAAACAAGTCAAGTACACAGAAATGAAAACCACAAATGAGAAATTGTTGCAGGTAATACTAATCACTGTTCTGTGCCAAGCATACAGCAGTCTTGCTAATAAAAATATGGTCTGAAGATGGACAGCATTGGCATCCTGGAGATCTACTGATAAGAATATTTTAACAAGGTCTCCAGATAATTTTTATGGACATTTAAATTTGAGAAGCACTGATCTAGAAAACTTCATTAGCATATGCTGCATAATGACCTAATCTGACTGTATTACTCATTTCTGTGCATCTTTCACTTTTGCATGTTACAAAGATTCATGAAAACACTTGTTTTTTTAAATGAGTTGTAAATGGAAATAATAAAAACTCTCATATACCAGAGCCATATAGATATTTACTCTCTTTCCTGCCTAATAAGCAGCACCTAATAAGCATCTCTTTTACCGTGTCCTTGATTTGAACATCTCTTGCTTCCTAATCATGGTGTTTAAGTAAAAATTTGGGGGCCTGCTGAGGGCTCATTGAGAATTCTCCCAACATTCAGTTATGGTGGTGACTTAGATTAGCAAGTTAGTGCCTTTACATGCCTATATATCCCTTAACCCAACAGTTCACAGAGAATTAGTCCTCACGAATGCCAGTAATGAATACAGTTTCTCAAATATTACTTGACTGACTATTTTTTAAAGTTCATTTATTTATTTGGTGGGGAGGCGGAGAGAGAGAGAATCCCAAGCCAGCTCTATGCTTAGCACAGAGGGGACTGCTAGCTCCATCTAATAACTGTGAGATCCTGACCTGAGCTGATATCAAGAGTCAGATGCTCAACTGGCTGAGCCACTCATCCACCCACTTCACCAACAATTTAATATAGCTTTTATTCAGGGTTTATAACATAAAATGAAGCACTGAAGAAAAGACTATTACAGAAATGCCAAAATACCATGAAAATGTAATTAATCTTGCACAGCTGTTTTTGAATAAGTAATCAGCTCAAAAGTCTTGTCCCTAGGAGTGAGCCATGTATATTATGTGTTGGCTCTAAAAGAAATTAGACAAAATATATGAAAACATAGTTAAGAAATCAAAATTAAAAATCATGACTTTAGGGGCGCCTGGGTGGCGCAGTCGGTTGAGCGTCCGACTTCAGCCAGGTCACGATCTCGCGGTCCTTGAATTCGAGCCCCGCGTCAGGCTCTGGGCTGATGGCTCAGAACCTGGAGCCTGTTTCCGATTCTGTGTCTCCCTCTCTCTCTGCCCCTCCCCGTTCATGCTCTGTCTCTCTCTGTCCCAAAAATAAATAAACGTTGAAAAAATAAAATAAAAATAAAAATCATGACTTTAAACAATGACATCATTAATTTGAAGGTTTCTGATATTGAATATTCTTGAAACACAATGATGATTCACTGTGTAAAGGGCTAGCTACCTTTGACAAGCTCATAAGGTATTTTTAAAGGTAGATCATGGCATAGTTTTTAGGAGTAATGAAAGAAATTAACAAAAATACAAATAATGTTAATAAATTCTAGTCATATAGCAAGATATGAGTTGAATATGTTTACAAAACCACAATCATATTTGCCACAACCACATTTGAAATGTTGAGAAAGATTATTCTAAATATAACTTGCATATATATTTGCTTTTTTCCTTTTTCTTAGGAATTAGATACACTTCAGCAACAACTAGACTCACTGAACATGAAAAAAGAGAGCTTGGAAGCTGTACGTATAAAATCAAATAAAGGTTCTTATATTACTCAGCTACAAAAGATAATTCAGCTAAATATATTAATGGAACTCATTCAAGGACATATTTATTTAGCAGTTTACTAAGAGGAGTATAATTTTTTTCCCATTCATCACCACAAATATCCTAGTTTGTTAAGAAATTAGATTCAGTTATTGAGTACCTACTGTGTGCAAAAGGAATCATTCTGCCTTTCTGAGGCATGTAAAATCTAATGGTAAGTTAAAGACATGTGAAGAAAGAGTCTAATAAAAGTGAAAAGGGAGAGAGATTAGTTCATCACTTTAAAGATGTAAATGCTTGCATTTGTTATTTGTTTATTTAAGGTAGTTTTAATTTAAAAAGCACATGTGTTTTTTAATGAAAAATTTTTTTATTCAAAAAATTATTTTTTATTCAAAACAGTTGAATAAGATAAAAGTGAAAATGCCTGTTTTATCCCCTCTTTCTAGACAGAAGTACTTTGTATTTTTTGAGTGTTTACTATGTGCTTTTTTTGAGCTCTTTGCAAAGATCACCAGCATTGTTGTTTAGTCTTTACAACAATCTCATAATCTTATCTTGGTTTTATTGTTATGGAAAACCTCACGTGGGATTCACACTTCATATGCAGCTTGATTTGGTTTTTTTTCACTTAACCTTCTCTCTTGAATTCTATTCACCTCAGCTATTATTGTAAATTATTATTGTAAATTATTGTAATTATTGTTGTAAATCATTATTGTAAATTACTGCACTGTGTTATATTGTATAACTATAACATAGCCTTGTAGATGAATAGGTTGTTTATAGTTTTTTTGTATTATAAACAGTGCTGCAGTAAAAACATGCATTTTATGCAGTTATGTAAATATGTCTTAAGATAAATTTCTTGCAGTGGGTCAAAGGATACACACTTCTAAAATGTCAGGTTGCCAAATTGCCTTCCAAAGAGGTGGTTCCATTTTCTACTTCTAGATTCAATGTATGAGAGTGCCTATTTTCCCCTGCACTCATTAATGGCAAGCATTATCCACTTTTTCCGTTTTTGCTGGTTTAATGGGTAAAAATTTCTATCTTGTTTTGATTTTCATTTGCTTATGCATGAAATTGAGTATTTCTTTATATATTTATTGGCCAATGTATTTCTTTTTCTGTGAACTACCTTTTCATGTCCTTTACACTTCAGTATACTGTCTGTACCTCAAACCTTGCCTGCCTTTCCTGATTTCCTATGGATTCCAGTAGGTATCATGATAATAGGATTGGGAACACTTGTAGATTGACAAGATTACTGTCTTGCAAAAAGAATTAAGCATGAGTATTTTGTAATTCTTTTGGAAATTTACTGTTGAAAAAGTAGT